AGTAAATGCAAATGACCCTGCGTTTAACTAAGCTCACTGGTTCAAACAGAGCAGGCTCCGTCATGGGTTTTTCAAGAACATGTAGGAACCTACAAAAGTAAAGGAGTCCCAACACAATCAAGCTAATGAATCACTAACTTTTAGTATGAGGTCAAATCAACCGTCTGTCATGAATGGGAGTAGATTTTGAGGAAATTCGGAGGACTTTCTGTAACATTACTGAGCTTCACACCATAATCAGCATCCAGTAATGGCCTTTTTACGCTCTGACCGATGTCACTAGTTATGTTGTAGTTCTGTTGCTCACTAAAGAGCTACATTCAATAGCTTTAAGAGATATATCACTAAGTATAGCTTCATAATTTTTTCCCTGTATGTTCTCCCCAACAATCAGAGGGAGAAATAGTTATTTTAAAAGAAGCTTTTAAACATTTGATTTCTTATTGGAAGGAAAGCACAGGTGGGGCTGATGTCAGTAATGATGGCTCTGTGTCATGCAGGTGTATGCAAGTGAGCAAATGTACACAATACAAGGACTGGAATGTTTATAAGTGGACTCTGTGATTAACACCATCAATCACACCTCGGTCATTCCTGATGTGACATGTCAAAATATCTGCTGTTGAAACAGCCAACAGCAGCAGACGGGGGTACTGTTTGATTTGCACAACAGTCATCTACACTTGAAGCTCCCCCAAAATAGGAAATGTATCCAAAAACCACATCCAGAGGTGAGCTGGGTTAAAAGTACAGCAGTGTGAATAATGGGCATGGTTTTGAGAGAGAAAGATGGGAAACAGGAGATGAAGACATGCCACTTTAAATCATTTCATGGTTCGATAAGGCCCTCTGACTTTAAATCAGAGTATGCTGATTGCCTTGGCAAACATCAGAAGGACGGCTCAAAGCAAACCTCAGCAGAAGTTTACCTGAGACAGTTTAAATACAGCTTACAGGCAAGCTAAGCTGTACTCCCAAATGGTCAAATGCAGATAGCATATTTGTATTTTTCACTTGCTGTCAGCCACTGATCTTAGCAGTGCATAGCAGGAATCGGACACACCGAGTTTTACAGACTGTTTACTATACAGGAATATTCACAGGTAAGGGGGTGTGTCTGAAGGAGTGGTATACCCCCACCCTGATATATGATAAACCAGGGGTGGGCAACTCCAGGCCTCGAGTGCCGGTGTCCTGCAGGTTTTAGATCTCACCCTGGGTCAACACACCTGACTCAAATGATTAGCTCCTTACCAGGTTTCTGGAGAACTTCAAGACACACTGGGGAGGTAATTTAGCCATTTAAATCAGCTGTGTTGGATCAAAGACACATCTAAAACCTGCAGGACACCGGCCCTCGAGGCCTGGAGCTGAACACCCCTGTGATAAACCCTCTGACATCTAAGTCATCATCAGATAACCCCAGCTCTAAGCTTAAACCTAACCCTAGGCAGTCAGTATGCGGTGCATATTTATCAAATTATTCTCCTGGGTTTTGGCAGTCAGGGAACAAAGAGTAATTTTCTGACACATGGGATTATCACACATTGTAACTTAGACTTCAGGAGGTTACGGGTGTGATGATTGAATAATACTTCTGAATAATCATTATTTGTAGCTTACATATTTATACATATACAAAGCTGACAAGAAAAAGCAAAGTGGAAATCAGCCCACAGTTTGACTCCTCATCGCTGCCTTTGTTACCTGCTGAAGCAAGTTGTCTTGACTCTTGTAAACCATATCCTCATTTTGGTTCATATCCTCCTGAGAACCGAGGAAAAAAAGAATCTTCCCATTGAACTTTGTCTGTGATTTCCTTCCTCTTTGGAGCTAAAAGAGGCCACCCAGACAGATGAGATATCAATGGTAAGCCCAGGATGTCCTCTATTTAGTACATTGGGACTTAGTAGGGTAGCTTAAGTAAGTCAAAAGATATAGATCAAAAACAGATTTCCATTACAGAGGACATAGATGAATAGGCTGTTTCTCAGTAGGCTATTGATAATAAAAGTGATATGATAAGATGTGTAAATGTTGGTCATATGTTTGCATTGTTATCTGGATATGTTTTGCTAATTTCTTATGACAGGTAAGAATGTGGTCTGATGCTCTGTTGTGTGTGCTGAACGAATAATCACAGATTCAGCAGGAGGAGCTGGAGCTAATAACCCAGCAGACTCAGGTCCCTTTTATTGGGATTGCATGATATGATATCATCCTCCCTGAAATAAATTTTAGGCATCGATGGCGGTATAGCAGCAGGTGATGCAGAACCTGGTGAGAGTATGGAGTGGTTGTTGGTTGTTCTTCAGTTACAGTAATATTTAAGGAACCTTGCTCTTGTTGGGAGGAAATGTTTGATGAGCCAGCTCGTTGGGGCCCTGGGCTAAAAGATCTTCCAAATGTGTTCCATTGCTACATCAACAACTATAGTGAGCAACACATGTGCAAAGTTGGCTGTGTTTCCTGCTGCTTCTGTTTAAGGATCTTCATATGTTTTGACTGCTCTGAGGAGTGTAGGCTGTCTGCAGATTAACATTTTCAGGATTCATTTTTAAAACTACTCAAACATCACATATAT